GTGGCCTCTACCCTATCACCCTCTCTCTCTCACTCCCAAAACTTCTTAAGTTCCAGAAGAAAAACTCGATTTGGGACTATCACGGCCCTCACAAACTACTTCGAAAATTCATGGACTCAGAAAAACGATCAATCTTTGCTTTAAAGGATTGATTCTTATTAAGGAGAGGAAGTAATGAATTGTTTATCAGTTCTTCAGTTCCATCTTGTTCTCTATTGATGTTACTCTTTGATATTAATTGGAGACAAATTTCAAATTCAGATGGAACGGTGTTTTCATTGGATTTGTAGAATCCATCACTAGCTGGTTTTCTTCTGCAAGTAAATTGCTGGTCAATGGATCAATTTGTGCCTTTGTAGGTTAGATTGGTTGTGTTCTTGAACATAAGGAACCACTCACAGGGGTTGAGGGGAGAGAAATCAGCGAGAAGTTTTCTTCCCCATTTTGGTCTTCCAAGGGGATGATTTTTGTGATGCTTTACGCACTTTGTCTCTCTCCAACAGTTAAAAAAGAATTTCTATAGGGACTCGTTGTACGGTAGACTAAAGTTTTTATAGGGAGAGAAAAAAAATGAAATTAACGTGTTATATTTTAAATTATGATTTGAGTTAAGATGTTTTGCACCACTATTTGTGGCAGGGTCATATAGGATCACTACTCTTTTCTCATATGAAATACATAAATTGTTTCCTTCTCTATATCTAGCTTAGTTTTTTCTATTTTTCCTTTATTTTTTTAGGAACCCACTTTCCTTTTTTCATGGGTCATCTATCTTAACTTTAAAGTCTCATTTCATTTCAGTAAGCATTTGTTAATGAAATTTTGTATCGAGTTGTCTTACTTGAAATTTTTTACTTGGACCCACTTTCCTTAATTTTTCATGGGTCAGCTACCATGTATTTGCTCATGACATTTCTTGAAATTTTTTCTTATGCTAATTCTTAGCAACTGTCTCTCTACTCTCTCTTTCCCTCGTCCCCCATGCCAATCTCTCTCTACTCTCTCTCTCTCTCTACCTGTCGCCAGTCTTTTTCTCTCACTCCCCTTTTTTTCTCACTCCCCTGCGATTGCTTCTTTCATTTTTTTTATATATTCTCTCTCTCAATGGACTTTCTCTTGCTTCTTCCATTTTTTTTATATATCCTATCTCTCTCAATGGACTTTCTCTCTCTTTTACTGGCTTGCTTTCATGGAGGGAGAAACTAAAAGCACAAAGAAAAATAGAAAATAACAATAATGGGTTTCACTCTTAGTCTCGTATTGTCTCGGATAAAACCTCTAATAAATAAAGTCACAAGAACCACATATACTGGTCCCAACTCCCAACATTTCAGCAAGACCACCAATCATTATGGGGGAACCCAATATCACATTGACAATCACACTATCTTGGGTGAAGGGAACGCCATCGGTAAGCGATAGATCACACTATCTTGGGTGTAGGGAAGGCCATCTGTAAGCCATAGTGCTCTCTTGACTTAGTGCGCAGTCCACATGTTGGTGAAATAAGCTAAAGATGCATTTATATGCATCTCTTAGTGGATTACGTCCCACACTTAATCAAACATAGTACACCATTTTTTATTGGTCAATATTTGAATTAAATGGTAAAAGAAAATTGCATCTTGTAACTTGTATATAGTCCAACTCCAACTCCAAAAATTTGATGCTCTGGTGTCGTGTGGACTCGGGATTGCTTCTCCTAAACAAAAAAAAATGGTTTCAAAGATAAATGATGTTCTCAAAAATAAAATTTATTACGAAAAACTCATAGTGCAAAACAAACATACAGTGTTATGTGCCTTGTCATAACGAGCAAGAAGATGTGGAATATTTAAGTATGAATTACTATAACATTCTTGCAATCTCTTTATGGAATACATTTCACAATTATTGAGTGTTCAATAGTTGTGAAAAAGATGAGTAAAAAATATTTGCATCTTGTATCTTGTGATTAGGTGAAAAAGAATATGTATAAGATCATTGTTTGTAACTTGTGATTAGGTGTCCGTCTCGAGATAATTTGATGATTTGGTCTAGGAGGGAGTAGGGATTGCTTCTCTTAAACAAATAAATAAAAAGGAATTCACATAAAACACATGTTCTCCTAAACAAAAAATATTATTAAAAAAACTTAGTGCAAAAGTAACAAACCGAGCTGTGTGCTTTTTAATGAGGGTAAAGATGTGGATTACTTAGTCTTAACTCTTAACTCTTAACTCTTAATGATCACATGGCCACGTCCTCTTGGTTCCAAAAAATCTATTCCAAAAAAATCTAAACTTCAAATGGTCTGATAGTTGTTAAGTTATAACCGCCTTTGTTACCTGAAAAAGACATCATCGTCATGTTTAGTAGTTAGTAACTTAGTACTTTAAAACTCTAAATATTTAAATTTGATAGTTCATTCTCTTGAAGGGGTAAGTTGGTGTTCCAGTGCTAACTTTGCCAACCACGTTCTCTCTCAGATGATACACTAACACATGTCGATGCCACCATCTTTCCTTCATGCACAACATGCAGCCTTGCAGCTGCGACAATGCGTATAGGCCCTATACCACACACTGTTATGGCTTGAGCTTGAGAAAACCCAAACTCCTCTAATGTCTAAGCTTTAAACTCTAAAGTCTAAACAATCTAGTGACACCTGACACTTCCTAAATGGTATTGCACTACTCCTAATGTCTAAAAATTCTACTCAGTGACACCTGACCAACTCACCCCTTAAATACTTCAGAAACTTGATTCCAAATATGTAGGAATCATGACTCTACACAACAACATATCTACGTACCACATATGTCAGAAACTTGAATCAAGTGATGGCGGAAACTCGGTTCCGCTATTGTAATTCTCTATCTCAAACCAGCATGGATCTCTTATTCACATAGTTCATAAACTTGATTCCAAATATGTTAGAAGCACGATTCCATGGATGATTGACACTCGATTCCTAACATGTTAGAAGCACGATTCCATAAATGATGGAAACTCGATTCCGCGTATACCACGCATATCGGAAACTCGATTATGTGTATATCGGAAACTCGATTGCTCATATGTCGGAAACTCGATTCCGTGTATTAGAGAAACTTAATACTTGGAGTGTCGAACCCGGGGGGATGGGAATCTCGATTCCAAGGAGGCCGGAATCTCGATTCTATATGTGGATGAGACTTGGACCTATGCCGATCGATACTCAATTCCTGCAATTAGGAATCTCGTTGCCAACGATTCCTATTGTATGGACAACAATTCCTACAACGGGAAACTTCTGGCCAGTCGCGATTCCGGTTCCTAAAACGATTCGGGTTCCCAGACGTTTACAACAACTATGCTTTTTGTCCTTTTTTCCCTTTTTATTTCCATGAATTATTTAGTGTTCTTCATCCTTTTATAAATATCCTTGAGTTTATCCTATTTTCTTTTTTATGCAAAGTCGTTCTTATATCGTAACCCTTCAACCAGTAAAAATTCCCCATTAAAAATCCACTAAAACCTTTAAAGTAACTTATGTACTACCTAGACTTAACCCTTTGTAAAATCCCATGAAACCTTAACACTTTAATTTCACACCTAAAGTCAAAACCCTAATTATTTACAACCTCATTAATTCCAAAACTCTAGAACTAGTTGTGGAGACCCTCCAGAATTATTTTAAGTTATTCTACACCATCTTCTATCAGGCTCTATAGGTTAGCCTTAAATTTTATTAGGATCAATTTTAAATTATCTGATTTTCTTTAGAGACCAATTTCAGTCCATTATGGATTTGAACTTTTATTTCGTGTGCATTAAAACGAATTCCTAAAATTGCATGTTGATTAACACAAGTTGGTTTATTTAGTTTTGTGGATGATTACCTGCTGAAATTGTAGATATTTAGCATTATTTGGATTTAAAGTATGGTCTTGTAAGTGAAGATTAGTGAGAGTATGATCTTATGTTACATCAAGAGAGTCAAGGTTGGAACAACTTTTAGTTCGAAGTACTTTGATACATTTATTCAAGCTACAATGAACTTGCAAGAACTGTTTATTTTCAAAGACTGTTTTCTTTCACATCATTTTGCTGTGAATGGTAACTTCATTTGATCGAAAGGTTTTTCAATTATTTGAAATTTAAGGTGTATTCATTCTATTTTCCAAATAAACAATAATATGCTTGAAATATAGCGTGAAACATCTTGTAAAACAGTTGAAAAACAGAAAGAACTTCACTTTTGTTTTTTATATAGCACATCCATGACATTCTGGACTAATCATAATTCTCTGCTGTAGTCATCACCCTCCATATAGAAGCTTCATCAGTCTATAATGGAAACGACTTGTGTAAACAATGATTGGAAATATCTAAAACGATGTAAGGAATGTTTGGTTCGATATGGAAATCTCTCTTCATGAGAGGGATTTTTTGAAGAGAGAGATTTTTGAGAAATCGGCATCATACCTTGCAAGGAAAGGCATGGCTTTTCCATGGTACCCTACTAATTTGTCTAGCAGTGTGAACCTTTTTGCTTTCTTGTGAAACAAACATGGGAAAGCAGCGTTGTCAATGGAAATCTCTTCCCACGAGAGATTTTCCATTAACCAAAGGTACAAAAGATGACTTCTGGTTTTGTGGAAATTTTATGTTTTTGTGGAAATTTTGGTGTCAATTAAAGGTTATCTATTTCACTTCTATTAACCTACTTTCTATTAATTATTGTAAATAAAAGTTCTACCTTTTTTGCATCGAATTATGTGTTTTTTGTGATGAGCTAGGTGATGAGATATTTTCATAGTGATTCACAAATTTTTTATTGATTTAGTCTTCGATTTTCTATTTTTTTGGTCCAATAATTGGTTTCGCATTTCATTTCTTACCTTACAAAGGCAATGGATGCACCTCTTTTGGTTATGACCGTTTGCTATTTGTGAGAGATTGGGAGTGGATAGTCACATGCTATCTTTGGCAAGTGTTTGATTGTTTGTTAACTCACTAATTTATTATCTTTTCAGGGATGGTATATCAGCACTTGAATTTGACATGAAGGTGAGGAACTGTTTAAATTTCTTGCATGATTGTGCAAGCATTGGATGATTGACATCTTCCTTGATCAATTATGTGTTAAAAAAAAAAAAATTGTGTATTGATATTGCAGAATGGATTCGTGTAGTTGACCCCAAATAGTTGGGATAAGGCTCCGATGATGATGATAATGATGTAGTTGGTTCGCTTATTATTTGGATCTTGCACTCTGTGTGCCATGTACACATGAGGATGGTTTTCTTTTTTGTTGTTTCCCCATCAAATGGTTTATGATAACTGCATTTTACTTGATTTATGCATTCTTGGTTGATTAGTCACTTATCTGATCATCAGAATTGTTTTTAGTTAAATAAGTAAATCTCTTTGTGAAAATGAGCAAACCAAACTTCACATTGCTGCTATTTTTGCTACTTTATGCAGTCTCAGACAATAATCATGAAGTTGCTTGTGCTTTTCTATGTGAAGCAGTATTGAATGTATTGTATTTCTATTTTTTTACTCATTTTACTGTTTTTTTTTGGTATCACATGCTCTGGTATCAAAATTGTCTAACTCCAATATTTCCAGGGAGTGTACTTGGCATCAACAAGAAGGCTAGGATATTTGGCTGTGTATGACTTTCAAGCTCTATCATCTGGTAAGCTTTTTTGCATTTACTTGTTATTCTTAGAGTCTTTCTTTCATATTTAGACGAACATATGCTACTGTATCTTACTAAACTTTTTTGGTGCAAGGTTTTGTAGAATGCATGGGGTTTATGCATATTTTTGTGTATTCATTTATTATAACATCATACTCCAGTTGTAAAAGCCAACCGTAAATAATTGGGATAAGGCTTGGATGATGATGACGATGAGATGATGACGATGACACTCTAGTTGTCAAAACTTAAACTATCAACAAAACCTCAACTAATGGTTCAAAATATTATGGTTTTACTGACTTTGATAAGCAATGCCCTGCAACATGTTTTCCTTAAAAAAAAGTATGTCCAGCACATTTCATCTATTAGTTGGTGATTAGTAATTGGACTCTTGTCGACAAACTTATCTGCGGTCTTTTTCTTTCTCACTTTTTGCACCAAAAGTTGATGCATCCAATCATGTGGTAAAATAACCATGATTTATTTTGAGAAGCAATTAAGTTTTAACAGCTTCGGATGCATTTGAGAGGCCCAACAACTCCTTTGCTTTCAGGAATTTGGAACTAAGTGTATAGGAGTTTTCTTCTACAAATCTAAATGGGATGGGGGGTGGACTTATTTGTTAATAAATGGTCTGTTCATATACTGTGCTCTTCTTTGACCTATAGCGGCTCAGTTTGCTGGCTGGTAATTAGACTATATTGTTGAGTCATTGTTTTCTTTGTCCCTTCTCCTTTTTGGAATCATGCTGTTGATGGCATTCAATTTGATGTAAAATATATATGGTGTTTTCCTAGAAGAAACTAAGCTGTTGTTTAGCTCCCTGCCTCCTTGGAATTCTGAGGTCCGGGTTTAAGTCAAATCTTGGATTTATATCTTCTAGGAAACAAAAATCCTAGATACTAATTGAATGTCTGATGGGGAGCATCTGGATGGACCCAACTTTTATATTTCCACTATTTGGCTTACTTGTTTGTAAAACCTGGATTTGTCAATTTTATTATATTTTCAAATTGTAAAAACTTGTATCTTACTAATCTATTAGAACCTTTTATAGGCGTAAACATTGATCAATTTATTATTTTCATGTCAACACCAATCTATTTATTGTTTTGAAGTTATTGAAAGTCTTATTATTTTTCCTATTTTTTGGTTTAAATCTATTTATATCCTTTTGTATTTCTCCCCACAGTTGCTAGGGCAAATAGTTTTTATTTCAATCATTAGAATGTAATTTTTTTTATTTTTTATTTTTTTATTTGAAGATCTTTTATTTTTACTTAAAACTATGACTTTTTTAAGTTAAAAGTTTTAAGTTCTCAGTTTTTTGGATAAACACATTATTTTGACATTGAAAGTAAAACTTACTAAGCTTTTGAAAGTCTCTCTTACTCTTTTATTCCTCTAACCTCTCTCTCTCTCTCTCTCTCTCTCTCT